ATAAAGAAGATCTGTAAAGTTGCAAAGACTAAAGTCTCAAATCCAAAGAGATATTCTTTATAAAAGTTAAGAGTCAGCCACGCCTACCTAAAATGGCTCGTTCTAACATGCCCACCACATGTCTACGTCACTATGTGGGAAGATTTGCATAACTCCGCCCAAATGTTCACGCAAAGAAAGAAGGCATAACTTTTATGCTCGCTGTAGTATTGTTGTTGCCGCCACCATGTCGTGAAGGCACTGTGTGTTTCGTTGTGAAAGCGAAACTACTTTGTTTGGTCTTCCAAAAGAGGACACGACTAGAAATCAGTGGTTAAGTTGTATTTACAACACTGTTCCAGAACACTTCAACCCAAATATCCAGATGTGTGCAGCACATTTTATGGAGGACTGTTTCCTGATCCTGGGAGAGTAGACTACAATGCCGGCTGTTCTGACTCACAGACAGGTAAGTAATTTTTTTATATTTAAAGGATTTGCCACTGACGATTCAAACGCGAGTTTTGAGCAGTGTAGAGTAGCGCTTGTTGTTTGTCATTTCTCCGATCACAAATGCAGACATGGTTTTATGTTTACGTGGCGCGATGCAACGCGTAAAAAGACAGTATAAGTCATTATAATCCGTAATTATGTCCCCACTGGATGCAACAAATGTTTATGAGTTTTAATGTTAATGTCTCGTCGCTCCGGCCTGACAGGGCATCACAGTATGGTAGGGGCGTTACATTTCCGTCACACGCTTGAGGTATTCGGCCAATCATAACGCACTGGATAGCTGACCAATCAGAGCACACCTCGCTTTTCAGACCGATGAGCTTTGTAAAAATCGAAGCGTTTCAGAAAGGCGGGGCATAGAGGAGCAACAATAATGTACAGTATGTGGAAAATAATGTGTTTTTTTACACCAAATAATGTTCTTTTTAGCAACATCATATGACCCCTTTAAATGAAAGAAAAAACTGCAATGCTTTGCCTAGATAATTTTCTTTTTGCTGGTCTTTAGAATTGCACTTTTTGATTTATGAGTAATATAAATTTTAACTGTTGTAACATTAGTTTGACTGACTGTAATTTTTTATTTAGACTGAAAAGAATTGCATTTGCAGTTTGGAATACCAACATAAAAATCAAACAATACAAATACCAAAAAAGGCTAATGGTGGTTTAATATGTTATTGTTATATAAAATAATAAATAAATAAATATAATTAAAAACAGTAATAATTTAACAAATTCAACAAAAAAATTAAAAAGCACACAAATCTAGCATTTATTTATTTATTTATTTTTAATGCCAATAAAACATAGTATGGAATTAGAGAATTTACTTTTAAACTGACTGTAATCATCAAATATGCACGTTTACAATGACCAAATACATCCACAGATTTTATTCAGTAAATGATTATTTACAGATATAAAAATATATATATATATGTACTGAACTTTCTTTAATAATTATGTTGAGACCATGCATTTATTTGGGCATTGTACTCGTTCAGTTATATTGTGGTGTAAGACAGACATTTAACAATGAATCTATTCACTGTTCAAGACCCGTCTCACTTTTATGGGAAGATTAGCTTTTTGGCTTCAACGAATATTTTAAAGTGCTTTTATTTAATCTATGTATATATATATATATATATATATAAATAAAGTATTTATTTACTTTTATAAATATATGTGCATACATACATACATACATATATAATATATTAATTTAATATTTTATACCTGATTGTACCCCTGTTCTGGTTGTTTTTAATCTTATTACTTTTATATTACTTTTGTAGTTTTTTCTTTCTTTCTTTCTGTTTTAGGATTATGCTTAACTAACTGTAGCCTATAATCTTCAATATTTTGCGTCCCCGCCCACAAAGTGACGTCGAACAGGATGTAGCTTTGCACAGGGAAGTGTAGCTCGCAAAGTTGTAACGTCGACTGCTTTCTTAACAATGGCGACTGTCACGACCGAGTCATGGGTGTCGGCAAGATTCAGAGGAGTACTGCTTGTTGTCATTCTTCAATTTGTATTAATACCACCGCTGACTGCTATATCAGAGCCGGGAAAATGGGTCCTGGATGTGGATAATGTAAGTGCATCACCACCTGCAACGAAACCTTGTTGTATCTTCTAGTCTCATGACAGTCCATTGTCTTTCCACACACAACACCGGTTAACAGCCACTATTAATGAATGTATAGAATTGAAGAATGTGTAGAATATATATCGGGGATCGATAATATGATGTTATCTGCCTACAGCAGGAGGTCCAAACTCGGTCCTGGAGGGACGGTGTCCAGAAGAGTTTAGCTCCAACCCCAATTAAACACACCTGAACCAGATAATCAAGCTCTTACTAGGCATACTAGAAACTTAAAGGCAGGTGTGTTAAAGCAAGGTGAAGCTAAACTCTACAGGACACCGGCCCTCCAGGACTGAGTTTGGGCACCCCTGGCCTACAGTGAACATGTGAAATAAGAGATGAGGCTAAGCTAAAAGCAATGGCTCTACAGGATTTCTAGTCTGGTCTTGCCCTAATATAGCTGATTGCATACTAATCTTTTTATTACTTACAAATACATTTCTTGTGCATGAAGTATTTCATTTTTAGGGTAACTACTGAGATCAACAAATTGTAAGAATCCTCCTTTTTGTGTATTTTAGGTAGGTGGGAGCCCAACGTTCTACTATTTTCCGAAGACGATGTTCAATAATACTTTCATTGAAATTAATTGTGAGTATGCTCTTTACTTGATCTGTGTTAATTTCACAAACAACTTGAACTGAGACCATACTGTGTGTCTGCAGCTGAAATGTGATATTTTTATGTGCGTAAGATAACATAAGATGTTGGCATTTAAACATGAGATCACTTTCTGCACTCAAAATAGGTTTTTACAGAATTTTATAGACAGAGTTGGGTATATTACCTAGAAATTGTAGTCTGTTACTGTAGTTAGTAAGGCAATCGATTACATTACAAATTTTAGGTAATATAATGACTACTTTTTGATGACTTTTGACCTAACTCGTTTATCACCTAACTTGTTTGATCTAACTTGGTTTATTGACTTAAATAGGATAATCTTGTATTATAATGATATTAAAATACAAAGAGTAAGAAATATATATTCCTTTCGTGGTAATTAACAACATGAAGTGCATTAAACATTACATCGTCAAGGTTTCTCAAACTGGGGTTCGTAAATGAACTGCAGGGGGGTTGTGAGTTTAATGAAAAGCTAATAATTAATTAAATCATAAAAAAATGTAAAATTAAAGTAAGTCATTTTAAAATAACCTCAATCAAAATAAAACGCTTATCAAAAATTTTTAAATATTTGTTGACCTGCATGTCATGTGACCGTTAACCAAATGTGATATGTAATTATTAAATATTTATTTTAAAATCTCAGGGTTACTTCAAGTAAATATATTAGGTGAAAGATGTTCAGATGACAAAAATAGTTTAGGAATGCCTGCATTACATGTAAATAAGAAATAAAGTGAATGTGTGCATTTAAAAAGCTTTCAAAAACAAAAGCCCTCTAAATACTAATATGTGGGTAAATAACCTAATGGTAATTCAAATAAAAATTAATGCGTTCATCAGTAGTTGATGCAATGTTAAAACACTTCTTAAACCTGATATTATTTTTGTAAATCCAGTGTTCAAATACCGTGTAGCCACCTGACCTGACTAATGACTGGTCTTTGTGTGAATGTCCATAAAACTGGAAGACTTTCTGAATGTATATAAGCAGCAGGCTATTTTAGAAGGGAACATTTAAAAGACGAAAAATAGGAATTAAGGAGAATCAATAAATTATGAATAATTTATTGCTATTGTGTGAATATGTAATCATGCAATCAATAAAACATTCCTGTAGTCTGATGACAAGTATATTACAATTTAATCTAATTACAAGTACTTAATTTTTGGAATCTGATTACGTAATCCAGATTACATGTAATCAGTTACTTCCCAGCTCTGTTTATAGGTCGTGCACATTGTGAAGACAACTGAGGGCTGTTTAATATTTAGTTTTTAATATTTTTATAATTATTTCTAATAATCTAGTAAATGTAAAAATAAAGCTACTTTATGGTTAACACAAAGGCAAACTGTTTTGATGTCCATTATAATAATAAATCCAGGCATATGTTTGATGTGATTGATTGTGTAAATTTGCTGTTGAAAATAAGGTTACTATAGTGAATGTAGTCATTATGGTGCATTATTTGTGTGTGCAGTTCAAGGTGCAGTGGTGTTTGCAGAGGTGCTTTCAGCTGTAAAAAGAACACTGGCTCGAGTGCTTGTCATTATTGCTAGCCTTGGATATGGCATAGTCAAGTAAGTTGCTTTGAAGCAGTAATATATTGAGGCAGTTGAACAAAATGGATTAAAATCTGGTCTAAGTAATACTTTTATAAAGCAAGAATTAGTGGTTAAACGGATCATTGTTGATCCGTGATCCGTACGGACCAAGCCCCACGGTTCGGCACGCATGTGATCCGCAGATTAATTGCAAAATTTAACCATAATAGAGTATAAGTTTATAATTTGTTTGTATTTACACAAGCAAGCAAATTTTAAACAATTCCAGAGAGAAAAGGCGAAAGGGAACTGGATTCGTTACTCGCGCGCTGTTCTCCACACGCACACACATGAAGCGCGCACAAGCATTTCAGACGGCGCGCGAACACAGAACTGAATCCTTTTCTGAATCCTCTGAACAGACACACACACAAAATTATGAAAAAATACCCATCTCGACAATCGTTCAATTAAATGCAGTCAGTTATGTCTCAAGTGAATGAAAACAGCTGAGAAAGAAATCTGATGTGAGGTGTATCATTATATCCATAGACTGTAAAAAACATGGACGTAGTGTCCGTGACGTCACCTGTTGAATTCTGCTTTTTTGAAGCCCAAAGTGGGCGGAGCTGGTCGTCGCCAACTTGGCCGCGTGTCACTCCCGGATAATCGAAAATGAGTAGGAGTCCAATTCTGTCGTTTCACGTTGAGCATCCACTGGTCTAGTCTGAGAGGGTCTGGATCACCTAGAGGAAAACTTTACACTGACCAATAGATGGTTACCTTTTTCACAGACTACTTTGCACAGTCCTTATTCTGTTGGGGAACATTTTAAAACACTTAATTTGGCTTAATGCATTAAGACAGTGTTTTTCAAAGACCAAACTCAGAAAACACGTTATTAACAAATCATACTTATGTACAGACAAGCAGATGAGTCCAGGATAAGAACGCAAGGCGCGTTTAGCGTTTTCCTCCCATAGAAAACTGTTATAAGGAAAACGCTTACATGGCTTAATGCATTAAAACAGTGCTTGTCTGTACATAGTTCGATTTATTAATCATGTTCTCACTGAGTTTCGTCTTTTAAAAACTGTTTTAATTCATTAAGCCACGTTAAGAGTTTTTCTTATAACCTAACGGTTTTCTATGGGAGGAAAACGCTTAACGAGTAACGTTAATTACAGGCCTAACGTTACAGCTAATCGCAGTCTGTCGGATTCTGAGTGTAGTAGAGCAGTGTTTCCCAACCGGGGTGCCGTGTAAAAAAAAAAAAAAAAAAAAAATAAAATATTTTTAATTTGTAAAAATTTTAAAAAAAAATCAAAAATAGTTTAGGAATGCCTGCATTACATGTAAATAAGAAATAAAGTGAATGTGTGCATTTAAAAAGCTTTCAAAAACAAAAGCCCTCTAAATACTAATATGTGGGTAAATAACCTAATGGTAATTCAAATAAAAATTAATGCGTTCATCAGTAGTTGATGCAATGTTAAAACACTTCTTAAACCTGATATTATTTTTGTAAATCCAGTGTTCAAATACCGTGTAGCCACCTGACCTGACTAATGACTGGTCTTTGTGTGAATGTCCATAAAACTGGAAGACTTTCTGAATGTATATAAGCAGCAGGCTATTTTAGAAGGGAACATTTAAAAGACGAAAAATAGGAATTAAGGAGAATCAATAAATTATGAATAATTTATTGCTATTGTGTGAATATGTAATCATGCAATCAATAAAACATTCCTGTAGTCTGATGACAAGTATATTAAAATTTAATCTAATTACAAGTACTTAATTTTTGGAATCTGATTACGTAATCCAGATTACATGTAATCAGTTACTTCCCAGCTCTGTTTATAGGTCGTGCACATTGTGAAGACAACTGAGGGCTGTTTAATATTTAGTTTTTAATATTTTTATAATTATTTCTAATAATCTAGTAAATGTAAAAATAAAGCTACTTTATGGTTAACACAAAGGCAAACTGTTTTGATGTCCATTATAATAATAAATCCAGGCATATGTTTGATGTGATTGATTGTGTAAATTTGCTGTTGAAAATAAGGTTACTATAGTGAATGTAGTCATTATGGTGCATTATTTGTGTGTGCAGTTCAAGGTGCAGTGGTGTTTGCAGAGGTGCTTTCAGCTGTAAAAAGAACACTGGCTCGAGTGCTTGTCATTATTGCTAGCCTTGGATATGGCATAGTCAAGTAAGTTGCTTTGAAGCAGTAATATATTGAGGCAGTTGAACAAAATGGATTAAAATCTGGTCTAAGTAATACTTTTATAAAGCAAGAATTAGTGGTTAAACGGATCATTGTTGATCCGTGGTCCGTACGGACCAAGCCCCA